CATCCAGCCCAACCCCTGTCCCTGCCCAGGACACCCCAACAATCCCCCCCTGTCCCTCAGAGCGTTGTCCAAACGCTCCTGGAGCTCTGGCAGCCTTGGGGCCGTGCCCACTGCCCTGGGGAGCCTGGGCAGTGCCCACCACCCTCTGGGGGAAGAACCTTTCCCTGAGATCCATCCCAACCCCCCTGGCACAGCTCCAGCCCTTCCCTGGCTCCTGTCCCTGGTCCCAGAGCAGAGCTCAGCGCCTGCCCCTCCGCCTGCCCTCGGGAGGAGCTGCAGCCCCCGAGGAGTCTCCCCTCAGTCTCCTCTGTTTCCCCAAAGCATTTCCACACCAGTTCTCCCGGAGGCCAGACCCTGCCAGCCTTGCAGACACAGCACCAGCAGGTTCCCACATTCCAGCTCTGCTGCCTAAATACCTCCCCTGTTCCACGTAAGAGGCTCGGGATAATGGACCAGGTCTCCAAGCCAGGGGAACAAAGAGGCTTAACACAGCCCTCCAGTTCAGAGCAGTGTTATCAGCTCAGAGAAATCTCCTGCTGGAGCTGTGCCTGGGCATTCATTCACCTGCTGCTATTGTGCTCATCCTCAGAGCCCTGCTCGTCATCCGATGTCAGGGGGGAGTAATGGACACCGTTGGTCTGAACGAGGGGCTTCTCCTTTTTCAGCACGGGGGGCTGGTCATTGTCCTGGTAAGGAACAGGAGAGTTCTTCAGGGAGTTTTCAGGAGAGGAAATGGCTGTTATTTCTAAGGGCTGGTTAATGTTATTGACCTGGGCAAGAAGGAAAGAGAGGAGTTACAGGTGAGAGCATCCCTTTGGAAACGAGGCATCTTGTTAAGGGTATTAAAGGCAGGCTTAACTCGCCCTAAGACATGCAACAGCTGCTTCTTTAGCACTACGTCCCCCCTCCTGCATTAGAACCTGGGGTGAAAGGTCAAATACAACTCGGAAAAACTGCTAATTTCCATCCTTTGATTTCACGTTTCAAGGCAGAAATGAAGACACGGGATAATCCTTTCCCTTTCAAACTGCACTGCAGGATCACACGAGCACAGCTCTATAACTGGCTTCATTAGCAAGAATGCCATATGCTTCTGGCACTCCTAGGCTGTTTAGTCAATCCTAGCTTAAAGTATTTTCAAAATATTGAATCTACAGCCTAAATATCAACTTCGGTGCAGAAACGAGCTCTTTGTCACGAGGGAAGAGATTATTTTGGATTTTTAAGGCTCTGGCAGCGCAGAACTCCCGCAAGATGCTCAAACTGCTCACTGAGTTCGCAGCAATTCCCGGAGAGCCTTCCCACCCATTCCAGCTCCAGGATGGCCAGAGCTCATCCCTAACTCCGAGAGGGAATGAGGGATAAGGGCAGGGCTCTTACCATGGAGTTGATGTTGAGGGGTGACCCCGACGGCTGCGTAAAGAGCCCAGACACAGCAGGGAGGGATTTGCGCTTCGGGGAGACCCCGGAGCTCCCGCTGAGATTCCCAGATCTCTTCCTCCGGCCCCGCTTCTTCCCGTCCTGGGCGTGGGCTTGGCCGAGCTCCAGCCGAGCGCCCGCGGGCACAGGGCTGTGCTTGCTGGGAGGGGATTGTTTTACATGTCCTGTATTAGGAGAGATTGTAAAGATGATTCTTCTCTTGGCCTCGGTCTCAGGATCTGCATCAGACTGAAGGTCCCCCTTTGTTCCTTCGGCAAAGATCTTCTGAGCATCTGCAAACTGCAAAACCCCTACCAGGCTCTGGGCACTCAGCCTGGGGCTCGCCGAGTGCTGCTGGGCAGGGGAGCTCTGCCCAGAGTTCCTCGGCTGCATCATTAGCAAAGGATGTTGTGGGGTGGAACTCCGAGACCCTACAGAGTTAAAGAGACTCCCAGAGTCGTCCAGAGCTGCCTGATCAACACTATGGTTAAGATGGGCTGGGCTGTTTGTAAGAGTTCCATTGACTGCCACGGAGCCAGAAGAGTAAGAAAAACCTGTTGAAAGGGAAAGTATAGATCATTGCTGGGGCTGAGCCAGAGGTCACCATGCTGGGGGGGCTGGGAGGGATTCCAGACTCCAGCCAGGGCCGTGGATTACACGGGAACACATCGGCTGCTGCTCCACAGGGCACTGACAACGTGGCTCGGGGTGCTCAGCTGCCACTTGGGGATCAGGGACTTGCACTGCTCTCCTGCAAAATTCCTCTCATGTGGAGGTCTCCTCCGCTCTTCCCAGTTTGAAATGGAATTCAAGTGTAGGTTTTGTTCAGATTATTACACTTCCTGAAATCGGGGCTCCTCCACTCTCCACTCCTTCCTTTCCTCAAGCAAAGGGATGGCCAAGCTCAGCGCTCTCCTTCCCCAAGCAGAAGGGCTGTGCCACGCACACAGCCCAGCTCCTCCAGCTGAACAGCTCGGGAAGTGCCGGGGATGGAGCTTGGGAAGGGAATGCGGGATTTGCCAGGGGGCACCATGCAGGGGTTTGGTGCTCAAGTAAGGCCTGGGCTCTCTGGATAAAAGGGGTGGGTGGGAACATGGTAATGGTTTACAACAAGGGGTTGTTTTTAACACTTCACTGGATTTACAGAAAAGCGCAGCCAAGCCCTTTTGCAGAACAGATGCTGAAACAACCCAAGCCCCTGGGGGTGGTGAACACTGAGACCAAAGCTCTCTCTGGCGAGGGAGCAGCTGTAGAATCACTTCTGTACCCTAGAACCTACATTTCCTGGCCAATCCCATTCCCTGAAGGCCACAATTCCCACAGATGAGCGAGTTCAGCAGCAATGTCTGCCCCCCAAGGCATCCCTGTCCTCTCCCATTCGACCTCTTCCTCCCCAGGCACCTGTGCCTTTACAACTGCTCATGAGGCATCTCTTGAACCTTCACCAAGGAATTCATTTTGATATTAACCCCCCCCACACCCTGTAAAATCCAACTTTAGAGCCAGCCCCCCAGCTCCTGGCCCAGCTGGGCGATACCCTGGGGGTCTGTCACGGTGGGAATCTCTCGCTCCACACGGAATTTACAGGAGCAGCTCAGCCAAAGGCACCTCAACCCAACCCCTGATCCCAGATGCCTCCAAGCTGGGGGCACATCCTGCCTCAGAGCATCCCCCAGGGGTGCTGGGTCTCAGAGTTTTGGGCCCCAGAACACACGTTCACCCAGCACTGCCTGGGAAAACTCAGCTGGGAGCATTTGGGAGCCGTCCCCACACGAGAGCACCTGCGCACAGGTGAGGTGTTACCTGAGGTAGCCAAAGCCAGAGGCTTGTTTCCAGCAGCATTGCTTATGCCATTATGAGAACTAGCACCAATCTGCTTTTCAAGTGTTGCTGAGTCTCTGCTCTGATGAACTGGGCTAGGTGTGCTTCTCTGGAGAGAGAAACAAGGCATTTCAGTACAGCAAACAGCAAAAAAATCAACAGTTTCAACCACATTCACATGCACTGGTTCTACCTAGGGAAGTGGCTCTGTTTCCTACACGTCCTAGATTAGGTTGTTTGGAGGAAAAGGCGGATCAGAAGGTTGTGGGACAGAAATATCGGGATGAATTAACTGCAGTGGTGGGCAGCACACAGCAGACTCCGCGCAGAGAGGGAGGGCAGGCTCAGCATCCCAGAATATTTAGGGACTATGAGAGCAGGAATGCCTCATCCCACTGCTCTGCTTCACAGGCAGCAGGGCAGAACCCAAAGGTTGTGTATCTTGAGCCCAGGCCTGGCCACACCAAGTGCCCCAAAACAAAACCCCACCCTGAGCACGGAGTGTGTCAGGCCACGTTCTCTGGGACACTCCCTGGGGGGGGTTTCCTAAAGCAGGGAAAGCTCCTGTGAAGTGGCAGCCTGACCCAACAATGTTGGGGGGATTGGTGCCACCCAGGGCTGACATTCTCTCTCTGAGGACACAGGCTGGGCAGGCAGTGGTTCTGCCAAAACCAGGAGTCTTCAGCTGGGAAAACGTAGTGGATTCAGCACCGTGAACCAACTGCAGCTTTGCCACTGTGGGACTGTGAGGCAGGCACCTGGGGATGGACGGACTCTGAACTCACAGCTCTTGGTGAGAGCAGCACCTGCAGCACTTGTGGGACAAACTGGACTAGGTTAAATTCCTCTTCCACTGAGAGAGGCACGGATTTGTCACAGGCCAAACAGAGATGGCCCCAGAAGCTGTGTGCTGCAGAGCAGGCACTCACACAGCAGGTCTCACAGCCCCAGGGGGCTGTCCAAGCCCATCCTCCACACGTGTGCTGAGGACAAACAGCCCTGAGGGGACTGACTGAGGCAGGAACATTCCCCTCCCAGGCTCCTGAGAACAAACTGCCACGGGCACTTCTCTGCTCCCACTGCCCCTCTCAGGCTTTTCCACCCAGCCAGACACTCAGGATCCCCTGAGGCTTTCGCTTCCCTTTCCTCCCTGGCTGAAATCCCCCCCCAACCCCAGTGAGGGAAAACCTACAGAAGCTCAGAGCAGCCCCAGCAGCCTCCCCCGAGGGTCACACAGCCAGGAGGAGCCCAGTGAAGGTTCCTGGGGCTCAGCACCCCCATTCCTGCCCGCTTAGGGATGGAAAGTGTTGACAATCCCTTACTCACCACCTTCTCAACACGGCTAGGTAGGACTACGCTGGCCAGAGGGATACTAACAGGGAGTTTATTGGGCTGCACTGTGCTCAGAGGAATACTGATAGGGAGGCTGGTGATAGTTTCTCCATTACTCACAGAGGTTCTCTCTCTCAAAACCTGTAAATCAAACAGAAAAAAAGCCAAGTTCTTTCAGGTGTTATTGCTGAAAAGCTCGTGACAACCTGCTCGTCCCTGTCTCTGTGTCATTCCCCCTCCTTTTGGCAATAATCAGCACAGGCAGGGCAGGGATGGAGAAGCACCAGGCTCCTGGGAATGCAACAGCCCATGGCACAGAAACATGAGAATTCAAGCCACTGCCAGCCCCAAGCCTCAGGAAAAGGATGCCTTAGGTGCTCATTTCCCTGTGGTTCGGTCAGAGCTCTGTGGAAAGATGACAGAAGTCATATTCCAGGAGTGGCCATGGCAATTCCATGGTAACCAACCTGCTGCTGGAGGCACCTGCTGCTCTGAAATGAGCCCTAGGCCTGGCCAATTACAGGGACCATTCCTTTGTTACTTTTTATAACTAAGAAGGACTTTGCAAACTCAAGCAGACACTGCCAGGTCCAAATAGCCCCACTGCTTTACTGCAAACCACTATTCAGAGGGAGGCACATCTCTCTCTACCCCAAACCAACTCCAGTTTGTTATTGTTTTTATTGCACCACCCCACCTGCTGCCTTTTGTGCCATTCCCATGCCCAGCTGGCCCTGGAACGCAGCATTCCTGCCTTCCCTGGTCCTGCCAGGTGGAGGCCACCCCTCACCTTCTCTCCTGCACTGGGTAAGGCCGCTGGGGAAGAGGGCCGAGTTTCCTGAGGACTCAGCTTTATGCCATTTGCAATTCCAGGGCTGGGATATGTAAGGCCATTCTCTTTGACATGCTCAGCTCTGGAAGGGAGACACACAATTATTACAGGATACAAAAAAACTGACAACTTTTCCCTCGTACTGAACTCAAAGCCCACCTTATTTACCCCATAAATTGACTTAAGAGTTTGCTTTCTCAGAACAGAACCTTTTTAAAATACAGAAAAAAATGAAAAACATTTTTGGACAGTCCAAACAAAGAGTGTCATTAAAACGCCACACTTTCCCACCACCCCACCCCCCCCCTCACCTCTGCATCTCGTTGGCCGCCGCCTTCCCGTTGACCCCGTGGTCTTGGTTCAAGTGTCTCCTCAGTGCTATTTTAGCCGGGGAAAACCTGGTGTAGTCAGGGAGGGCCAGGCTGGTCACCTTGTCTGCCTTCTGCCTGCTGTGGCTGGGGGTGCAGGGCACGATGTCGTGCTCCAGGTGTGAGGAGGGGTACTGGGGGGTGTTCTGCTTGGAGGAGGGCCGGCCGAAGGCGTGCTGCAGCTCGTAGGGGGTGGCGTGGCCGTTCATGGACAGCTCGGGGCTCATGCCGTTCACCTGGGGCAGGGGCAGCTTGGAGCACTCCAGCTCCAGCTGGAACCTGCCCTGCTCGGCCTCGGGGTCCCGGCTCAGGTGGGGTTTGCCGTGCAGCTGCACCGGCAGCGGCTCCTCCGGCGGCGTGTACGACTTGAGCTGCAGCAGCTCCTGCTGCCGCTGGCTCTTCTCCAGCTCCACGATGCTGATCTTGAGATAAAGAAGAGCAACAGGGATTAAAGACCACTTCCAGCAATTCTATCACGTGGTGGAGCTCTGCCTCCACCTGCTTCTCAGGAAGTGTCCCCATTTCTGGGGACGAGGCAGAACAAGGGGGCCCAAAATCTGAGATACGAATTTCAACTTTAGACCAAAAGGCCCAGGTGAGGGGAACTGGGTCAGAGGCTCTGGGAGAGAACTTGTCAGATCTCGAAACCAAGCATAAAACATCTCCAACTTAACACATAGAGAATATATATACTTATACAGAGAGAAACTCAGTACTGCCAGGCACTGAAGGGAACAGTCACCCCATGCAAAGGCATCCAGCAAAAGGCTGGAGTAGCTCCAGAGCCAATTTCACAGGGAAGGAAAAGCAAAGCTCTTCACAAAAAGGAGTTTAATTTCTTAATTAACTAATTACTATGGCAAGTGCCATTCTGTGGGAACTGATTCCCTCTCCATCCCTGGAAGTGTCCAAGGCCAGGCTGGAGCACCCTGGGCTAGTGGGAGGTGTCCCTGCCCATGGCAGGGGGTGGAACTGGATGGGCTTTAAGGTCCCTTCCAACCCAAACCATTCTGTTATTCCTCAACTGAAACATCAACCCACACATTCAACCAACCAGGACCTTTCTTTCTATCAAGTCACGCTTTTTAATTATATGTAATTGTAAACCATGATTCCTTCTTCCACAGCATTACCAGGAATCAGGACACAGCATCTACTTCCTTTAAAAGTTATCCTAAAATGCTCTTAACAGAAAGATTAATCTTTGGAACAATAAAGAAAAGAACAAAAAGAAAGGGAAAAAAGGGGGGGAAAGGGTAAAAAAAGCAGTCCCTGGTTTATCCTTTACCATCATCTTTAGTGTAACACCCCTAACTGTCCCGTTGTCCAAGGGGTCCCCCAGCTGGTGACTTTGTTTCTTGCTCTCTACCTGCAGTTCCAAACAGTGCTTCTGCTTCTCAGAAATCTGGTTCTTCAACGCCTGCTTCTCCTTCAGCAAGTTCTCCAGGGACAAGGTCGACCAGTCCAGCTTCAGCTCCTCACACCGAGCCTTCAGCTGCAGGGACAGGGGACAAACAGGTCAAAAGACACCTTTCACCTCCTCCCACCACCCCCCACACAGGCTGGCAGTCAGGGACTCTGCAGTGGATGTGCAAGAAGCTTCTGGGCCCGCTGAGAAAAATCCTCCCAGCTCGGTTCTGTGTCCCCCCAGGGGGTGGCAGGAGACGGTTGCCACCCCACCCTCACTGTGTCCACATCCAGACTTTCCTTCTTCTACTTTCTGGGGGGCTCAGCCTGGAGAAAAGGAGGCTCAGGGGGGACCTTCTGGTTCTGCAACCCCCTGACAGGAGGGGGGAGCTGGGGAGGTTCAGGCTCTGCTCCCAGGGAAGAAGGGACAGGAGGAGAGGGAATGGCCTCCAGCTGTGCCAGGGGAGGTTTAGGTTGGATATCAGGGAAAATTTATTCACCAGAAAGTTTGTGATGCTTTGGAACAGGCTGCCCAGGGCAGAGGTGGGGTCACCATCCCTGGAAGTGTCCAAACAACATGTGGATGTGGCACTTGGGGACAGGGGTCAGTGCTGAAGGTTGGACTTGATGATCTTAAAGGTCTTTTCCAGCTTTAATGATTCCATGATCCTATAACAATCTGAGTTACTGAGATGAACACCCTGAGAGTTCTGGCCCAAAGGAAGCCCTGGACAAAGTCCAGTGACACACAGAGCTGTTCAGGGACAAAGCCAGCTGTCACCTCAGCATTTGCTCAGAGCTACATAAAAGTCACCCCAAAAAGGTCTCCCTGAATTCTTCTGTTACAGAGGGTAGATGGATGTTCAGCCCCCCAGCCACGCCCTGTCCTGCACCCAGGGCAGCATCACCCAGTGCTCAGACCACGGGCTGTACCCACCAGCTGCAGGCTCTGGTTCCTGAGTTCACTGTTGTCCTTTTCCAGCTGTTTGGTCTGTTCTTTCAGCTGCTGGTTGTGAGCAGAGATTTCCTTCTGAGCCTGGATCAGGTCGTTGTACGTCAGAGCTTTCACTCCCAACTACAGGAGGAAGAGTGAGAAGGGATCAGTCAGTAATTCCAGACAACTGTCACATTCCAGAGCGGAGCTGGGATGATCTGCAGAACTTGGGCAGCTCACAGGAACGTCCTCCAAGGCTCTTTGTCACTGCTCAGGGACACCAAGAAGGACAGAAGTACCTTGGAGCTGCTGCTGAATGTTCCAACCATTCAACTTTAAAATAGGAAGCCAAAATAATACTGTTTTTGTGGAGAGCCCCCACATTTCCCTCGGAGCTTGCACTGGCAACACAGAGTTTGTTCAAGCAGCAGGGGGTGAATCCTTCACTGATCATCAGATGTCTGTGGCCTGTCCCCCCTTCCCCTGGACACAGAGTGACCCACAACAACCCCAACAACGAGGACACAACACAACCAGAGAGGGACACAGATCCCCCATTTCTGAGCCTGATCTGCTGCAAACCAGAGGCTGAAGGCTCAGACTGTTCTGGTCCTGTTCAGCTTTACCCCAAATGTCTGCACACAGCTGACTGGGAGCTCCAGTCCCACCAGCCCCAGCGTTACCTCATCGAGCTTCTGCTGGAAGAGCCTTTTGATTTCCTCTTTCTGGGCCTGGCAGTGGGTGAACAACTGCTGTGCTGTCCCCAGGAGCTGGGCATTCTTCTCCTGCAGGAGGCAACAGTGAGGAAACACTCATTTAGCCCCAACTGCAGCACGGTCCAGCTCAGTTAAGATGTTTACACCTGGTTTGTGGAGCACGTTTGGGAGTGAACTGGAGCTCTGCCTCCTATGACCCCTCTAGCTGGTAGTGTGAGATACCTGGGGAAGTTAAGTCAGCTGAAAAGAGCTTTCCAGAAGGTTTTTTTTTTCATGCTCTGTGGTAAAACACAACCAAAAAATGCCTAAAAACTCATTTTTACCCTCCCAGTGCATTGTAAAGCAGCAGCAACAATCACATCACCCAGGGCAGAAATAGAAGTGGGAAGGATTATCTGTATGAAATCTGTTACCAAACTGGGAACTGGATCTAAATCCCCAGAGCCCCAGCTCATTTTCCCTGTACAACACTCAGGGAAGAGACGCAGTAAATGAAAATACACGGAGGGGGAGGCAGGAAGAAAGTCATAAAATAAGCCAAACCAGTTTTGCTACTTGTGCCACAGTAACTTCAGGGGGTCACCCGACCCACTCACAGCACATTCCGTGCCCAGAACATTCCTGCTCCCTCATTCCATGGCCAGGCACTGTGTGAGCAGCAAAAAGCAGGACAGGACTGGCTGAAGAGCCTCATTTATGCAGGGATGGATAAAGGAGGAGGCAGCAAGGAAAGAGATCCCTCCCTGTTCTCCAACTTGTGCTGCTGAGGCCAAGCAGGAATTGGGCAGGCACTGAGCCTCTGATCCCAAAAAAAGTGGAGGACAAAGGGCAAAAAGCACTTTGATCTTTCCCAGCTTTAATGGTGCCCTGACTGTGATCCCAGGCAGGGAAGGAGCTGGGGTGGCAAATTCCTCATGTGAATCCTGTTTTCAGCATCAGACACTCCCTTCAGCCCTGCCAGGCCATGCAGGGACTGACAGCTCCACCTAAGGGCACCCTGGGAACCAGCAGCTCCTTTTAAAATCATTATTAGAGATATTTTTCTTATACTTCAAACTCTTCCTGTAAGGGGGAGTTATTGAATAAACCCCACACAGCCCCTCAGCCAGCCCAGTTCTGCCTCTGTGAGGTTCAATTTGCCATGAAAAAAAACGTTTTCATAGTGAATTCCTCATTTTACTGTTTAAAAGTATGGAACAGCTGTTGGACACACACACAAGAGGTGACTTTTCTCAGTGTAGGGCACAAGAATTGCAGCCCATCCTTCCCCTTCACTTCATGCTGACTTTCCTGACAAGTGCAGATCAAGCAGAAGAATCTGCTGGTGAAGGAAAAAGAGGGAAACTCAAAGTGCTGATGGACTGGGAAACAAAATGGAAACAAGCCCAGAAGAAAGGGCTTGCACTAACACCACACCACATCAACCAGTGCCCAGTGAGGAACAGGGTGGCACAACCCTCCCAACTGGAAAGAGAGTTCCCAGCAGGGACACCTTCCAGTATCCCAGATGGCTCCTTTGATCCAACCTGGCCTTGGACACTTCCAGGGATCCAGGGGCAGCCACAGCTTCTCTGGGCAACCTGTGCCAGGGCCTGCCCACCCTCACAGCCAACAATTCCTTCCCAATATCCCATCTCCCCCTGCCCTCTGGCACTGGGAAGCCATTCCCTGTGTCCTGTCCCTCCATCCCTTGTCCCCAGTCCCTCTCCAGCTCTCCTGGAGCCCCTTTAGGCCCTGCAAGGCTTCAAGTGGAAGTCAAAGTTTATTATTGGGCATTACTGGGAAAGGTTCCTCCACAGAAGCACCAGGCACAGCCTCTCTCATCAGGGCTAATTTCTAAAGCAAATGAGACATTCAGAATTGAGATAAAGCAATACAAGAAGGGGTTTAGGCAGGAAATTTCCTCCCTCTGCTGGTGGTTCCATCCCACTGCCAGCTCCAGGGCCTTCCTTGCTTTTCCATGTATTCCAGCCCATGACTTGGTAAATTTAAATGAATGAAGGGCCACAGGGATGCTCCAAGGGCTGCAGCCCTTCTGCTCCAGGAGCTGGGGTGCTCACCTGGAGAAGTGAAGGCTCCAGGAAGACCTTGGAGCCCCTTCCAGGGCCTGGAGGTTTATAAAAAGGAGGGAGAGGGACTTCTTACATGGGCAGATAATGAAAGGACAAGGGGCAATGGTTTTAAAGTGCCAGAGGGCAGGGTTAGGTGGGATCCTTTAAGTTCCACAGCTCCCACCCCCAGCATTCTTCCCCACACTGAAGGTACTTCCCACTCTGGTAGTTTTGTTTAGAAAGGTTAAAGGGACACCCACCTTTTCCTGCTCCAGTAACTGTTGCAGACTTGCTTTGTACTGAGGGGTTTTCATGTAAGCCATGAACTGCATGTACTGGATCTTAAAAGAGTCTGCAAAAGAAACCAGGAGATGATGAATTTCAACAGAGAGTAAGAGCAGTAATCCTATTTACCCGTATTTGCTCCCCTGCCACCTCTCCCCTCCTTTGCTCTCTTTTGGTTTGGACTGTAAGTCAGGCCAAGCCATTAAAGCTGGATTTAGAACATGCTGGAAATCCATCTCCTGGTGCCAGGGGAGCTCTTGGATCCATCAGCTCCTTAGAACATGGTGGAAGCCATGACAACACACTCAGGCAGAGGAAGGTGCTGGGTGTTAGGGGTGTGTTTGCATGAGCAGAGAGGAGCTGAGGGGTTTGAGTTCTTTGTAAGCAGAAATAACAAAAGAGATGAGCTGTAAGAGCCCAAACCCTCCAGAGCTCAGACCCTCCCCCTCCCAGCACCACACACAGGGCCTGTTCTCCTCCTCCTCCTCCCTCCACACACACCCATGAGCTCTACACTCAAATTCCTCTCCCCTTCTCATTATCCTTTATCTCCAGCAATGACCCCTCCTTCCCCTCAGCCCTCCCATCATTAAAGGATGGAAGCCCTCAGGATTAAGCCCAGTCTGCTGCACAAAACATGGTGTACAGATTTCTGCAGCAATGCCTAGTCCAGACAAGAGTCATTCTCCCCCACCCTGCCACCAAATGTCCCTCTAAATCACCATTTTCCTCTCTCTTTCTCTACAGAAAGAAATCAGACAAAAACTAAGACACCACAGCAAGAGAACACAAGTTAAGGACATCCCAGAGGCCCTTGGTCTCTACACAGACAGGACCATTACATCAGATTCCATGAGGATCCTACACTGGCTCCTGCCCAACGCCAAAGCACAAATAGCTGGGAGGGGACAGACACCAGAAGACCGAAAAAAACCACCCTGCAAGTTTTTCCTTCCAACCACACCTTTGTGTGGCCTCAGCATCTCAGACAGCGCCTCATTTATTAGCTCAGAGTTTTGCAGAGTGGTGTTCCCCAAGACTGCACCATTTCACTACAAGAGAAGCTTTTCATTTCAAATAAAGAGGTTTCTGACCGGCCATTTCCATTTACAGTTAGGTTGGGTTCCTCCTGAACCCAAGTTTATTGCCTTTTGGGCCAAATGAGAGCTGAAACAATGCCAAAGAGCACATGCAAAGCAAGACAGCAGCTTGGGCAGCAGCAGGAGGGACCTCGTGGTGATGCTGAGGGGTGTGGGGAGGGTGGGAAGCAGCTCATCCCTCTCCTGCTCCACACACCCCATCCCACTGTGGATATTATCAGCCCTCTGATTTACTGCACGTTCAGGAACCCCAAAGGAGGGGTTCCCATGACAAACAAGGTGTGGGAATCAGCCTTACCAAGCAGCTTCTGTAGTGCAGGAGGGGTGGGAGTCACCAGGAGCTGGTTGGACGAATGCCGCTGTACTTTCGGAGGTAGTTGGTAATATGGGCTGTGAGGTGACTTGTAGGCATCTGGAGAGGGACAGACACAACCTCAGCCCCTAAGGTCAGTGTTTGGGGCAAGGACAGCAGCTTCACCGTGGCATTTACAGTGTGGGCTCCAGGACTGAGCTCCACCAAGCACCCCCAGACAGATCCCAGCCCCGTCCCCGCCGTCCCGAGGGCAGCTTTGCTCTGGGGTGTGCTGGGTTTGCACGGCCAGGCTTTGGTGCCAAAAGCTCCTCCCCTGTC